TAAGAGGGGGTGAATTAGGTTTTTACAATTAAAATTAATAATACCCTAATAAAAATTATGACTAGCACAATAGATAAATATAGTTAATGAAATAAAAATAATTAAAACAAGTGTTTTAACAACTATATCAGTTAATGATTTTAGCACAGTAAAAATGCGAAATATAGCTATGGCAATTTAAAATAAAATAAAGAGATAAGGGAGAGAGAGACAAGCAAATTTATAGTGGTTTGGCTTCAACTCGGTCTACGTCCACTCCTCAAGCTTCACTTGAGATTTTCTACTATTTTCTAGCTTCACAGGGGTGCTAGCAACCTCTTTACAAATGGAGCAATCCTCCACGGATTTTACACAGACTTCACAAGCCCAAACCCTTGCAAATCTTAGATGATTCACAATCACTCTCAAGATTTCAAGAATACAGTGTTTGCAACACTTTTACAAGATGAAATGATATTTTTACTTTCAAAGAAATCTTACAATAAATATCTCTCAAAGATAGATATATAAAATGAACCTTTGATTTTTCTGTAAATCTCACACAGGAAAGATGGGGTTAAAGTTATAAGGCTCAGTGTATAATTTCTGAGAATAGATGTAAGTGATTATAGATCAAAGAATATTTTCAGGTTTTTTGTAACTTGTTTACATTAGAGGCTTTGGTATATATAACGAAAATTATAGCCGTTTATAGTCGTTGTATTCATTTGAATTTATAACTGTTTATAGCCGTTGTAGTCATTTGAATTTATAGCTGTTGTACTTCCATCATTACCAATTCGAATATCTTCCACTCCATCATTACAAATTTGAATATCTTCCACTTGAACCTTTTGAACCTTTTGGCCTGTTGTTGTGCTAGGCTGTTTGAACTTTTATTTTGGGCTGTTTGAACTCCTAATTTAATCAAATATTAAATACATTCTAATAAGTTTTGATCATATTTTTTATCATATTTTTGGGACAAAATAAATTTTGATCATATTTTTCTCTTTCAAATAAGTCATCAAAATAAATTTTGATTAAAATATAATTAAATAAATCATCAAAATAAATTTTGGATTCTATTTTTCTCTTTCAAATTAATTAAAACATAATTAAATAAATCATCAACATAAATAAGTCTAACAAACCTATATGACATTACCATTTTGCCTACCTTATTAACATAATTTAAGTCAATAACAACCACTCAATCAATCTCAACCAAGTAATCTGCATTCTATTGGCCCCGTTTAGTAGAGCTGTGAGAAAGTGATTATAACTTATAGCCTAACAGCTTATAGCTTATACCTGTGAACATAAGCTGATTTTTGACTTATAAATTAAGTTTCTCCCCACTCAAAGAATAAGTTGATTTTTGATTTACAAAAAGCTATAACCTGTATTGTTAAGTTGAATCAAACACATTAAAATAACTTAAATTAAGCTAAAAGATGAAATAAGTTGGAAATAAACCCTACCAAACAGGGCCATTATACTACATCCAAATTCAATTCCAATTATGAAAAAACAGAGAATTAATATGAACATGTGTATATGCGATTGTGTATACAAATATGTATATACATAAGTTATATATATATATATATATAGAGAGAGAGAGAGAGAGAATCAACATCCAGGTAGAAGATTGTTGATGTCCCGATGCAGTAGATCTCGACTCGCTGACCCAACAAGGCCAGCACCCAACAAAGCTATCTTCATCATCTGCAATTTTGAGGGCTAAGGTGATGGGTGGTTGAAAAGGGTTGTGGGATAGCAAAAGGGTATAGTAGAACAGAGAGAAGGGAGAAATAGAGATAGTTGGGGGCCGTCGATCGAGCTTCCGTAGGTGATGGATCTCAGGCGACGATGACCAACAAAGAAGTGCATCGGTGCTCCAGTTGCTGGCGAACGCGAAGAGGAACGGCGGAAGAGAGCTGTTCCGTAGCTGGTGGAGCGGCGATGAGAGAGGAAGAGGAGAGAAGTAGCGGAGAGGGAGGGGAGAGAGGGAGTTTGGGATGCTGCTGTGCAGCCCCCGTAGCAGCAACTGTTGTGCGGCGAATTGGGCCTATTTTGATAATTCGAATCGTCTACATTTTAGAATATATCAAGTAGAACATGCCTACAAAAAATCAAGTTAATCGGATATCGTTTACCCATTTATCCACTCACATTTGTATTCATTTTAATACTCTAAAACACAATTATTATTTAATTTTGTAAATACAAATGTGAGTGGGTGAATGGGTAAACGAGTAAACGATATTCGATTAACTTGATTTTTTACAGGTATGTTTTACTTGATATATTCTAAAGTGTGAACGGTTTGAATTATCAAAATGGGCTCTAAAATGGGCCCAATTCGCCGCACAACAGCTGCTGTTGCGCGGGTTGCGCAGCAGCATCCCCAAACTCGAGGAGAAGGAGAGGGAGAGGGAGAGGGAGAGAGACGGGTTTGTTTAGGTTTGGTTTGGAAACAAAATATATATATGGTTATTTTACATAATTCGCCACTAAACATTTTGGCCGCTAATTCATTTTATAAATCTCTTTAAAATTTAAAATGCCTCCTTCTAAATATTTTAATTCTTTAGTGATTAATTTTTTTTTAATCACTGAAAATAATTTTTTTGACAACCATAAAATAATTAGTCTATACTCATAATATAACTCTGATGTAGCTATGTTTATTTATACTCATAAATAATTTATTTATTTATTCTTGATCAATATAACTGGACCATAAAATTAAACACAAAATATATATACTCATTTATAAAAATTTAATTTTGATGTATCTAAATATATATATATATTAATTTTACAAATTTATTAGCAAGAACTAATTTAAAAAAAAAATTATTTGTTCATATAAATCTGTGTGAAATTTATCTATTCATATTCTTCAATTTGATAGTAAGACATTTAATTGGAGACTTTTGTTTGATTATATCTATTTTTTATTTTTTAAAAACTAGAATAAATATTCTATTTTTTAAAACAACATTAATATCATATGAATAAAAACAAATTACGTAAATTCTATAAAACAATTTAAATTATTTTAAGCTAAAAAAAATTGAATTATTCATTCGGCAATCGAGTAATCAATTACCATCTCTATTTTAGTATTTGTTTGGCACGATGGGTTAGAGTGGATTGAGATTAAAATAGTGATAAAAAGTTAAAATAATTTTTTTAATTTTAAGCTAAAAATGTTACATTTAAATAATAATAATAATTTTTTTTCATAAAAATAAAAAAAAATAAAAATCTTAATCAAAACGAAAGCTTTTTAATCCTAAATTAAAACAATAAAAAAAAAAGTAAAAACTTTACTCACATTTTAAATAAAACCTAATTAATTATTATCATCTTTATTGTAGTACACGTCGGTTACACAAATCGTACTCATTGGAGGATTAGGATTAGCTTGCCCTCGGGCTTCTGTCTTTATCACTCTTATTATTTTGAGCCTTAGAATTCGTTTGGGCTGTGAGATAATTTTTTAATTTTTTAATTATTATTTGGGGTCAAAATTAAATTCGGAATAATTTTTTTTAATTTTTTTAATTTTTATGAAAAAAAATATAATAATTATAATTTAAATATGATATTTTATTTTATTAATTTATTTAATTTTAATTTAAAAAATTTATTTTATTTTATTTTATTTTAACTAAAATAACCAAACCCAACCCAATCCAATCTAACCCAACCCAAGTTGCCAAACGAAGGCTTACGCGTCAAGTTCGCGTTTTACTTTACCTATAAAAGGCCACTACCCTCTAGCACCTAAACCATCAAAAGACGAAACTTCGAATTCTAATCGGGTGTTTAAGAGTGAGCGATTTTCGTTTGTATTTGTTAATTTCATTTGATCAGAATGGCAGAGGAACAACACCACCACCACCTTGGAGAGGAGAAGAGCCATGAATGCGAGAGCACCGTGATCTCGAGTACTACCACTGATGAGGTGGAGGTAGAAACTCAAGATCGCGGGCTCTTCGGTTTTATGGGGAAGAAAGACCTAGTGCATTGGAATTGAAAAAAATGAATCACACTAGGCATTTTAACTAACAAGTATTATATGCCTAGTGCATTGGAGATGCTCTTACGCGTCAAGTTCGCGTTTTACTTTACCTATAAAAGGCCACTACCCTCTAGCACCTAAACCATCAAAAGACGAAACTTCGAGTTCTAATCGGGTGTTTAAGAGTGAGCGATTTTCGTTTGTATTTGTTAATTTCATTTGATCAGAATGGCAGAGGAACAACACCACCACCACCTTGGAGAGGAGAAGAGCCATGAATGCGAGAGCACCGTGATCTCGAGTACTACCACTGATGAGGTGGAGGTAGAAACTCAAGATCGCGGGCTCTTCGGTTTTATGGGGAAGAAAGAGGAAGAGAAGAAGCCCGAAGAGGAGGTGATCGTGACCGAGTTCGAGAAGGTCCACGTGTCCGAGCCAGAGCCTAAGTTCCAGGATTGCAAAGAGGAAGAGAAGAAGCACGGTTTGTTGGAGAAGCTCCACCGATCCAATAGCAGCTCAAGCTCTGTAAGTCTTTCATACATTTTTACATTTTTTTTCAGTTATTTTTTTGAATATTTTTACACAGTCCTAAGTATGATCTCAAACATTGGTGTGACGATCTGGATGAATTAAAGATTTCATGTCATATGATAAAATTATCGAGGTCTTTAAAATTTAAAATCAATAGAATTTAACAAATTTTCAATTGAAAATAAGAATTGATTTGATATGATCCTTCGCAATCATTAATTATGAAATTAACATTTCTTTTCATTCATATGATGTAGAGAATTTCAAACATTTTAATGAATTAATATTAATCACATGATAATATTAGATACGATCTATCTATATAAAGGTAATACCTTGATTTGATGGCACTAGTAGTAGTCAAGCACTCTAGGCTTCATATATATGTCGAGTTTGTGAGATTTGATAAAGCTAACTCATCTAAATATGATTGTTTTGAAATGTTTTGCAGTCGAGCGATGAGGAGGAAGAAGACGAGAATGGAAAGAAGAAAAAGAAGAAAAATAAGGGTCCAAAAGAGAAGATCAAGGACAAGATTTCAGGAGAGAAGGAAGAAGAGAAGATTGAGAAATACGAGGCAGTGGTGACACCACTCCCGCCGAAGGAGAAGTACGAGGAGGAGGTAGTAGTAGTGCACGGAGAGCTAGCACAACCAGAGGAGAAGAAGGGCATCTTCGAGAAAATTAAGGAGAAACTACCAGGCCAGAACAAGAAAGCCGAGGAGGACCCTCCGCCGCCGCCAGCCGCCGAGTACGCCGCCCCCGCCGCAGAGACTCACAGTCACGAGGCCGAGCCGAGGGAGAAGAAGGGTATTTTTGAGAAGATAAAAGAGAAGCTTCCAGGGTACCACCCCAAGACTGAAGAAGAAAAGGAGAAGGAGAAAGAAAAGGAGTGCGCATCCCCTACTAAATAAAATAAAATAGATTTTTATGTGCTTTCCGGAGTGATATATGATGCCTTATCCTTGATGGGTGTTATTATTATTATTATTTTATTTTGTTTGCATTTCCTTTGTTTTTATGCGAGATTGAAAGTATATATATATATATATATATATAAAAAGTGCTTGTATATGTCATTTGTGTTTAGCAGTTGTTTGAGATGTGTTGTATTTTTTGGTTAAAAAAGTAAAGAAAAAAATTATGTTAGGAATAATTTTTTAACTTTTTATGAAAAGATGTATAATAAAATATTATAATAAAATTAAAATGATAATTTTATCCTTTTGATTTTTTTATTTTCTAGATAGTGGAATTTAAATGAAAAAATGATAATTTTGCTCTAGTGACTTCCTTTATAAACTACTTTTGAATAGTATATACTTCTTAATTTTTTAATAGTGTTTTATTATGAGTTCCTTGACAAGGGTTATCCTGTCTTTTATGTTTAATTTTGCTTTGGCACAATATTAATATTGGATTATTGTTTGTTTTTCTTTTTCTTTTTATGTTAAATTTATATTTTAGTTTAATTTTACAATGCAATATTTATTGAAGATGCTCTTTCCCACCAACCAAAACCTTTTTTTTTCTTATTCTACAAAATAAACTTTCTTTTTCTTAGTCCACAAACTAAAGTAAGAATGAGAATATGTGAGGATAAATTAAAGTAAAAATGAGAATATGTGAAGAAGGTTGAAATTAGATTAATTTGTGTCATTTTTTTCTATTGTTAAAATTAATCATAATTGAGATGAAAATTTCAATGCGATTTATTGTTTTACAACATATAGATAAGAAAAAAATCTAAATTAACGAAGGAGCGGGAAGAAGTTCTTTTGTGATAAATTTTCATTTTTTTATTATTTCACAAAAAAAAAGAAAAAAAGAAATTGAGAATTTAATTGAATTTCAAGTATTCAATGAAGAAACTTCCCATTTGATATTGCAAAACATACAGTGGAGAGGTTTGGTTTTGTAATTAGGGGTGCAATTTGGACAGGTTAGAAGATTGTTCAAGGATAGTTCAAGTTTGTACCGAGACTCGCCCAAGCCTGTCCAAACTCGAGTTGTAATCAGGTTATCTGTTCAAATCTGATGTGAGTTTAACCTGAATTGTAAATGAATTTTAATTTTTTTTGCAACAAAATCATTAAATTATTAAAATTAAACTTTATTTATATTTTTTTTATAAAATTATTAATAACATCAAATCAAATAATCTATATATTATATAAATAAAAACTGGTTTTTAATAACAATGTTTGTGGAAACTCAAATCCTCAAACTAAATTTTTTGATTTTTAAATATTAAAAAAACATTCTATTGGTTCTTATTTAATTGTAATAATAAAACTCTAATTATTTCATAAATTATGATTTTGAAAAAGAAAGTATGCTCAACTATTTCAAAATTTAAATTTGTGTGTGCCATTATATGTGACAGTTATTCACTAAAATCTAATTATTTTTTATTTTAAAAAAAATCTATTGGTTAACTCTAATTTAACCATAACAATTAAACTGAAATTATTCATAAATTACGGCTTCTAAAAGGAAAATATGCTCAATTATTTCAAAATTTAAAGTTGTGTGTCACTAATACGGAAGCAATTTACTAAAATCTAATTATAATTATATAAAAACTTTATTTATTCAATAATTTATAATTTTTAAATATATATATATATATATGTTTTTTCCATTTCAAGATTTAAAATTATGTGTCATTAAATATGATTAACAATTCACTAGAATCTAAAATTTATAAAAAACTTTTCAAATGGCCATCACTACAAAAAAAATGACTTTTTGCGACGGTAAAATACCGTCGCTAATACTCCTAATGCCGTCGCTAATACTTTTTGCGACGGCAAAATGACTTTTTGCGACGGCAAGAGGGGGGTCGCAACTGCAGGGGTTGCAAAAGAGTTTTTGCGACGGTAAATGCCGTCGCTAATGTTTTGCGACGGCGCCGTGCAGTCGCTAATAACGTTTGAAATTTCTTGACTTTTTTGCGATGGCCCTATTTTACCGTCGCTAAAAATGTTATTTGAGACGGCAAAAAAATACCGTCGCCAATAGTCTTTTTTTTTAAAAAAAACACCACTTTTTGCGACGGTGTGGTGCCGTCGCAAAAAATATAAAAAATATGAAATTTTCTATTTTTTGCGACAGTGTAATGCCGTCGCAAAAAATATTAAAAAATAATAAAATTTCTATTTTAAATAATAAAATTTCTATTTTTTGCGACAGTATAATGTCGTCGCAAAAAGTAAAACCTGTAACAAAATTAATAAAAATATTAAAATTTTCTATTTTTTCCGACGGTGGTGCCGTCTCTCTCTCTAAGAGCTGATTATTTACATTCCATTCACAAAAACATCATAACAAAAAACAAAAATAAAAATTGATCAAACCATCAAATTCAATATTTTACAAAGAACAATTAAACTGTACATGTTCATAAAAGCATATTTAAATTATAAAATTCACCCAAATCCTAAAAAAAAATAAAATAATAAAATAAAATCTAAAATTCACCAATCAGCACATTGGATATTTAAATGCTCTTACAAAAATTGAAAAATTTCCAACAAGATCTCAATTTGCCTCATTTGGAGTAGAGTGCTGTTTTTGAGCACGACATCCTCCCATAGCCATTTGATAAATCTAAGAGAAAAAATGCTATGGTCGATAACGTTTATGTTTTCTTGGTTTATGTTTAAAGTGTTATAAATTAATTTTTATTTATTTTTAAAAAATTATAAACATTTGAAATAAAATAATTAAAAACAATTTAAAACAAAAGTCATTTTACGTGTTTGTGTGCGTGGGCATATGTGTATATACATTATTTAAAAATATTTAAAACAAAAGTCATTTTACGTGTTTGTATGCGTGGGCATATGTGTGTATATATACTAAGGCCGGGGATTTTAGATTTTAGTTAAAAAAATCAAAAAATTATTATAAAAGTTAAAAAGCCAACAACTAATATAAAAAAGTTAAAGATTTTTTTTTATCTCTATTTTTTGTACATTTTTTTGTAAAAAATCAAAAAATTATTTCAAACATATTAATTTTTTTTAATTTATATTTTAACTAA